GTTAACTCATTTTTGGAAAGCATTCGGCGATTAAAGGGTCAATCTGTAACTGACACAGGACTAGGATGGAATTTGCTTTTTTCTGAGTTAATGGTTGCCAGAATTAATCAAGTCACAAATGTGCATAATTTCTTCCTTTTTCATCTGGAATTTCTAAGTGCTTATTCTTAGCAATTCTTTAATATTAATTTCATGCTAAGTGAGTCATTATTAAATACTTATGAGGAAAACTATTTTTAAGCCATGTGCTCATTTAAAACTGTAACTCATTGCTTTCTGCAGGCAATAAAAATGTGCTAAATTAGTTACAACACACCAGGACTGGTGGGATGTATGCTCTAAATAAGAATGTATGTGTTTACTGACCTAAATAAAACTGGGCTAAAATTGGTTGCACGTTCTTCTGAAAGAGTGTACATGTCATTCATCGCTCAATGGGGAAAACACAGATTTTTGTTTTCTGGAATCCTGTTAGAAATTCCACGAGGGTAGGGTTGTTCCTCTGATCTCCAACCTTCACATGTTTTTAGTAAGTAGGCAGGTTACCTGTCTTTGTAATTCAGGCTACAATACCCACACCAGTTTTAAAATGACATCTGCTATTCTTGGATATTCTCATGTAACCACCATGCACCCGCTGATGGGCTCTGCAGGAAAAGCAGCAATTCATTAACTTGAGGATGGTTCTTTCTCTAGACCAAGTGTAAGGCAGAGGACGTGGGCTTTCTTTAGCCGCAGAAATCCGACTTTATTACAGTGTTTCATCCCGTCCTGTAGCAAGATACAGGCACTTGAAGTAATGCTCATTTTGACAAAACAGAGAATGATTTTTTTTTTATTGTTAGCCAAAGCAGGTAGCTTCCATGATTACTGGCATCTAGGTACTAGGAAAAGCAGGAAGGTTGCGATTTCCTTCCCCTGAAGCAGGCCATACAACCTAGGAAGAGTTTTCTAACCTTCTGAAGTGAAAAGTGGTTGCTCATGACATGGACAAAGGAACACCTTCCTCTCTGAAGACTCAGGGACACAGAGAAGGCTCTGAACAAACAGACCTGCTAATGCCCCCCCCCCCATTCATGACTAGCAGATTCTATTCTCCGCCCAATTCTCTCTCCCCATGGCTGTTCACTTTTCATCAAAATTAGCATAAAGATTCCCAGGGTTCATTGCTTCCTTGGGTCCCAGTGTCATGTGAAACTTAAAACTTTTATGCTGGGCTCTTGTTTTTGTTACAGAAGCCTTACCCATGAACTGGGGGTGGGTAAGGAAAAGATACTTTGCTTCTCCTAAGGTTGGCTTTCACTGGGCACCCACTGACAAGCTTACAAAGTAGGACTGACCAGACTCCTAACACCCAGAGTTATCTAACTCCAGGGAATTTGTCATTGAAATCAGCTAGGGCAAGGCATGATGGTTACAAGCATATGCAAAATTGTGTGCACATCTAAGAACAGAAAACACTATGGTTAGCTTGGCTAAAACTGGCCTTAAAAAGCTGGGCTGGACAAAAGCAGGGGCTGGAGAGATGGCTCAGTGGTTAAGAGCACTGGCTGCTCCTTCAGAGGACCTGGGTTCAATTCCTAGCCCCCACATGGAAGCTCACAACTATCTATGACTCCACTTTCAGGAGACCTGAAACCCTCATGCAGATATACATGCAGGAAAACACCAATGCACATAAAATTTTTTTTTTTTTTAAAAAAAGGCCTGGTGTGATGGTGCACACCTTTAATCACACTTGTGAGGCAGAGGCAGGTAGACTTTTGTGAGCTCAAGGACAGCCCGGTCTACAGAGTGAATTCCAAGACATCCAGAGCTACACAGTGAGACCTTGTCCTCCCTGCCCCCTCCAAAAAAATTGGTCTTAAAATTAGAAAGTTGGGAATGAAATCTACTGTGTTTTCATGCAGCCACATATCCTTTTACCTCTCTGTCTTTTGTCAGCCAGTTTTCTTTGCTACTTTCATTGTTTCACTGTGCTCTCTGACTTGGGTATGCACAGGGATTTAGGGGTTCCAGATTCTGCAGGAGTGGTTCCAGCCAGGCTCAGGTTTCCACACTATTCGACTAATTATGGCAAGTGTCTGTGTATGGTACCGATACTCCTGTGCTTGGGATGGTATTCTTATTGCAGCACAGACTCTCCTCTACTTATGGTGATACTCCTTTCTGCTGCAACCTACTGCAAACATATCGAAATGTGTGTAACATACCTGACCTACTCGGCACTGCTGCTCACAACACAGCACCCCATTTAACATCAGTTGTTTCCCCTTGAGACTGTGTGGTTCCCAGTAACTGTGGCAGCAGTTCCAGCATCACGAGAGAGGACTGCTGAATGTCACTAGCCTGGAAAAGATAAAAATTCAAAGCGGGCTCTGCTTGGGGCTCCTGTTTTCAAATTACGCTGTCTGCTGGTCATGCCTCTGTACCACGACAAAGTTGAAGACTGTGAGACCACAGCAGATAGAAGAGAGGCCAGCGAGCGGTCGGTGGGGGTATCTGCAGGGAAAGGACTTCCCTTTCCCGTGAACTTCTTCTCCTGTTTCCTCCCCTCTTTAATATCAGGGTTCTCTTCCTCTTGGCAGTGATGGGACTTTCATTACTTTCTGCATGCGTCACGAAGCTCTTCTTTGACAAGTGCCGTTCACAGAGTTTTCTTCTCTAATTCAGTGTATATTTCAGTCAAAATATTTTAGTGAGAACTGTGGTTAGGGCAGTGCATAAAAGTCTCTGGGTTACAGTCTCTAGTTCCCATTTTATTCTCAGCTAGCTCAGAGGTGGGCAGGCACATAACGAGCAGTAAAAAGACACCTGACCTGGTTTTGAAGGGTGGTTCTGACACCTGCTAGAAAACACAGCTCTGCACCTGGTTCTCATCTGTGAAGCCAATGTGAACTTCAGGAATGAATGCAAGGCAAGTGATCTACGCAGCGTCGGGACTTAAGCACACATGATGCACATGAAGTACCAAAGGCAAAGCTATTAAACACATGAGATACGCTTGACACACCAAAGGCGTAAACTATCAAAGCCATGAGCGAGGCAGTGTGCAGGTGCCCAGTCTCGTGCGGGAGCTAGGTGTGTATCTTAACTCACTGCGCAAGGACTCCTACAATTCTGTTCACGATGTGGAACCCAAGACCGGTGTTTCTATGCATTTGTTGAAGTTTAAAGGAACATTTATAGAGGCAGCAATTTTGCAGCCTTCAGCTGCTGTTTTTTCCATTTTCTCTCTTGAATGTAAAAACTAAAAAGTTCTAACACAAGTTCCCTGAATTTGTCATTTTAATTTTGACACACTATTTCTGTTGCTCTCTTACACCACAACCAAAACTATTTTCAAAACCCCATGCTCAGTTTTTGTAACGGCGTAAATGAATGCAGATAGATTGTAAAAATATATACAGCTTTAAACGTTAGCCTGAGGTGAACACGCCCCCTAAGGGGCGGGACTTATCCCTACAAGTTTTTGCTAGAATTCACTCTAAAAAACGAAGCAAACCTGGTTTCACATTGTGAAACAAAGGCTAACAAAAATTTGTCATTGCCTGACTTTTTCAAGGCCAAGGTGTCACACTGATAGTGGTCTTACGAAACACGCTGTGACTTAGATTATGCTAACATTGTAACGCACCATGCCCGGTGTGCACCACCATACAGTTTGTGAGCCGGGCAAGAGGCTGGAGATTGAAACACACAAAGACTCACAGACAGAGATACGGGTCATCCTTGATGCCAGAATGCTCCAAGAATGCCCCCTTTATTGTGTCCAGGGGCAGCTTATACAGGGATAGCCACACCCAGCCAAACGCACCAGAAACCATTCCCCTGCCATCAGGAACTCCTGAGGGTCTCGTGCTCAGAGCAGCTGTAGGCACTCAGATCAGGGCAAAACAAATTGTTTACATGAAATTCAGGATCTGGGGGTTCACAGCTCCCAACAAAATGACACCTCAAAAAAAGCACAAAGCCTCAGGGAGGTGCAAAAAAACAGCAAACCTCTTGATTCCCTAAAGCAGAACTGTTAATTTGGGGTCAGGTTCCTGTGGTGTCTCCCTTTAAGTTTTATAAATTGTTATTCTCTACGTACATGTGTTATGCTTTACGTATGTCTGTGCCATAAAGAAGGCATCCGATTCTTTGTGCAGGGTTACCAGTGTTTGTGGGCTGCTGCCATGTGGATGCTGTCCTCCGGAAGAGCAGCCAAAGCTCTTAACCGCTGAGCCCCTCTCCCTTAAGTTTAAAAGCTTGGCGACTACTACTCAAGATACTCATCTTGTAATTTATAAGCTTTATAACCTTGGTAGCACTTGCTTTATGAACTGGGTTTGTTCACTGGCGAGATGGCTATGTTGTCATAAATACCACATGCATCCATACTTCATGTTTTTAAAGCACACTTGAAGTTGTGTCCTTGTGAATATGAGGCACTGATTTAGCTCTAAGTTTAAGGTTATTCACACTTCCTCTATGGAATATCTTCATGTAGTTCTAAATTCAATTTTTTTTTTTTAAAAAAGGCCAGTAAAATGGCTCAGCGGTAAAAAGCACCTGCCAAACCTGACGACTCAGGACCCGCATTAGTGAAAACCGACTCCCTCAAATTGTCGTAATGTTAAAAATTCAAGAATAAAAGATAACACAAGCGTCATCCGACACGAAAGAAAATTTCCACTCATGCGTCTTAAACGCAACTTGGAACCGATCTGACCCAAACCAAGCAGTGCATGTGCCTGACTAGGGATGGGGCGATCGCTAACCAAACAAAACACTTTCGGTGCTGGGCCCGCGACTAGGAAGTCGCAGACAGGACCCATCTAGGAGACTCCTTCCTCAAGACCTTCCAGGGCTCTCTCCCCTCCACAGGATAAACATGCCCGGCGCGGCGGGGCAGGCATGGCGCGCGCGCGCCCGCCTACTTCCGCCCCGAGATCCGGCGGCTTTTCACGTCACGCCGCGGGAGCGCACTCGATCCCAGCGTACACTGCGGCGGCGTGCGCGCACGCAGCCCCACCCCCGAGCGGCCGCGGGAAAATTCCAAACACGTCAAGCGAAGGAAGCCGCTGTGAGGCCGCGCCAAGTTTTCAAGCCGCAGAAGCCGGGTGGTGGCTGCTCTCCCTCAATCTGCTGAGGCAGCGCTGGGTGAGGACCACCCGTGGAGGCCGCCACTTCCCGCTGGAACACGGAAGACTCGCGAGAACGTGCGCCGAGCCTCGACGTGGGTGAGCCGCGCTCTCGAGGGGCGCCGAGTCTGAGGCGGGAAGGTGAGAAGCCACGGTGGGCTGGCGCGGGCGCCGGGAGGTGGGGCCGGGAAAGAGGCGGAGCTAGAACCCGAGGGGAGGCGGGGCCGGGATCGGGAAGGGGGCGGGACCACAGCCCGTGAGAGGTGGGGCCGACGGCGAGGGGCGTGGCTAAGGCAGACAGACTGCGATGGGCGTGGCCGTACGGAAACCTAACCCGGGCAGATCCAGGACGTTAGTGGGGGGAGCCGGAGAGGGGCGGAGTCGATAGTGGGGGGCGGGGCCTAGGGCCTATGCTGACTCTTAGTGCGGCTGGCAAAGAGACGAGAGGCCGGAGGTGTCCGGTTATCTTTTCTTCCTTTTTTTTCACAAATCCTCTTTCTGGGGCTTCAGCGCTGCCGAGGTGACTTTGAAAGACTGTAGCAAAGGTGAAGCTCATTGCTCGGCATCCGTTAGAGCAGTCTGTCCTGGGCCCCTATGGACGCCCTCCCACAGCTGCTTGAGTGACAGACCCAGGCCCCAGAGGGTTTAGGGGAGCAGTGTGCTTTTTTTGTTTTTGTTTTTTGTACAGTTTTTAGGTGGTTGGGCTTGGAGAGAGTGTTGGATGAGAATCTTTGGACAGACCAAGGAATGTTCCTGCAAGAACCTCTGTGTGCCTGGACTTTTGCTCTAATCTGAGATGGTTCAAAAGATCCTGTACCTCACTGAATAAGTTTAGGCGGACGTGATTGACATGCGTCATCCGTTTGTAGATGGTCCTCATCTTTAGGATGATACCAAATGTCAGACCTACACACTTAAGACCTAATATTCACACACCCCCCAAAAAAAAACAAGAAAATAAAGCCAAAACAAAACAAAAACCAAATCAAACAAGCAAACAAAAAACCCAAAGCAACAAGCATGCATTCTGGGATAGAACTCATGTTCTCACGTATGTATGGCAGCACATCACCAACTGAGCTGGCTCCCCAGCCCTGTTCTCAACAGCAACACAAAATGTTGCTTTGTTTGGGTGGCTGAGGGTTTGTTGTTGCCCATGGGAAGCTGTGTGCACATTTTAAATGAATGGGGTTCTTAACTACTTCCATATTTCGGCAGATAGTTCCAGCAGCAATTACACAAATCTTGTATTTATAAACCAACTTCAGGGAGGCCAGCTTGGCCAATAGGAGGTTGGATGGATGTCTAGGCCGCAGAGAGGCCCCAGGGCATCTCACATGAGTGAGAGGGTAGAGCCTCAGTTCAGGCTAGAATTCAGCCTGAAATGCTCCTTAAAAATCTTAGTGTAGTTTATGATATACATATTCTCAGTTCCTGTTTATGGTTTCTGATTAGCTAACTGCTTTAATATGAAAGAATTCTCATAGGAGACATAATGGAATTTTCAGTGATTTACTAAAAATCTAATATTGTTGGAAAAGAGAATACAGAGATTCAGATAACAATACAGTTCTTGAGTGTGGTGTTGGTATCCCCTTCTTCTCCGTGGTATCACTATGTAGCCAGAAGACTGTCTTGGAACTAACTGTAGATCAGGCGCTTCTTGAACTCACAGAGATCCGCCTGTCTGTGCTTCCCAAGTGCTGGGATTAAAGGCATGTATCACTACTCCTGGCTTGAGTGTTTTATTTTTTTGCTAAATATAAAACATTATTATTGTTATTATTTAGACTTGTTTTGAAAAAGATGTTGCAAAATTATCTGGGTATCTTTGTTAGGTGTTTCTTGACTTTCTTTGTTGTACTGAAATAATTTCTCTGTTAGGAACTGTGCTACAGGAATGTATTAGATTTCTGTCGCTGTAACAAAATGCCTGAGGTGTAGCACTTGGGAGGCAGAGGCAGTTGGATTTCGGAGAGTTTGAGGCCACAAACTGAGTCTGAGGCCCCAAATGGTTTACAAAGTGAGTTCCAGGACAGTCAGGGTTGTTATACAGAGAAACCCTGTCTTGAAAAACAAAAACAAACAACAAAAAAGAGTAGTTTATTTAGCTCATAATTCTAGAGAGTCAAGAACGCGAAGCATTTGCATGGTTCTGATGAAGATCTCTAGGCTACATATATCACAGCGTGCTAAATGGTATTCTGTCAGAAACACTCTGAGAATGGACACAAGATAGATTTAGGAGCTAGGGTCTCATGATTCTACAGTACTAAATTTGTAAATTCCTCTCAGTAGGCCACAATTATTTTTGTTTTTTCAAGACTGGATTTCTGTGTGTAGCCCTGGCTATCCTGGAACTTACTCTGTAGACGAGGCTGACCTCAAACTCAAATTTGCCTGCCTCTGCCTCTTAATTGCTGGGATTAAAGGCACATGCTACCACTGCCTAGTTAGGCCCCAGCTCTTAAATTGCCCCCTCCTTTTGGAATGCAATTCCTTTCTGTCCCTTAGCTTGGAGAGTCTGTAATGGGCCTTGGCCATGCCTTTCTGAGCCTTTTCTGTTGTTACAAAAAAGACTCTATATGCAAATCATCCTTTACTTGAGACAGAGTCTTCCTATGTGTCCCAGGCTAACCTTTTCCTCAACGGTCAGGCCTGTGTCTTGGTAGATCTAGGACGTCAGGCATGTACCACCACACCTGACTTTTGGAAACTGCTGTTGAGGAAGGTCTGTACACTGTTTCTAAGCTATGAAGTGATATTTGGAATTGCTCAGTGCTGACCACAACTCAGATTCAGAATTATTTGTATCACTTTTATGGTTTCAGACATGCAGATCTGTAGCCATTCCTGCCTCCATTGGTTTGTTTTCTTCTTTCCCTAGAGTAACCTTTTCCTGACATTTTCACATTCATTTATGTGAAATGTGTACTATGTCTGACTTCTTTCCCATAACATAATAATTTTGTGGTTCACCCATGTAGTAGCATGTATCAGTAGTTTGGTCCTGTTTATCACTGACTAGTACATTGTATGTGCCATGTTTGGATTTTCAGATGATGGACATTTAGGTTGAGTTTGTTTTAGTTCTTAAGAATAATAGTTGTGTGTAGAAAATTTAATCATGTGCTCATTTACATTCCCAGCAGCAGTGTGTGAGGGTCTTGCTTCTTCATCATCCTCATCAACACCTGTTTCCATGACATCCACCGTAGCAGGTTCCTTACGCTTACATGTGCCTTTCCTCAGAGCACTGCTGTGACGGCCGTCGTGAAAGACAGACTTGCACATCTCTGAGAGAATTGCAGTCTCAGCGGTTGTTCACTAGCTTATCAATTATTCAGAATTATTTCCCCAGTGTTATCAGTAATTTTTAGTGTATGGAATTTACCCTTTTGGTTACATTTATATTAAAGAATATCATTTTGGTTTTTTTTTGAGCCAGGGTCATATGTGTCCCAAACTGGCTTCGTACTTTGTAGGGATGATGTCTTCAACTCTTTATTCTTCTGCCTCTGCCTCCTGAGTGCTGGGATTACAGATGTCTTTTCATACTTTGAAGTTTTTTGTTTGTTTTGATGCTATTATAAACATAATTGCTTTAAAATTGTCATTATTTAATGGCTTGATACCAGCATATAAAATATAGTTGCTTTTGCATGTTGATCCTGTGTCCTGAAAGTCACTTACTTCCAGTGGGCTTTTTTAATGTTTTGTGAGTTCATAGGATTTTCTACGTATGGCGGCGTCATGTGCTCTGTGAATCTGGTGTTTTCATCTGATGCTTGCTGCTTCATCTGATGCTTGCTGTACCTTCAGTACAGGAGAGGAGATCAATGACGGTGGCTGCTCGTAGATGGGCTGCTGTGGGCTCCTGGGGCAGGTATTGGAGATGAGACTGTTGCACCTGTTTGAGGTACTGTTGGTTGCCTTGATTGTCTTTCCAGTGCAGAAACTGCTGACATGATGACCCTGTGCATGTGCATCTGACGACAGTGGTATTTGAAGTGATTCAAGCATGTTCTCTGTTTTTGTTTTTTTCCCCTAAGTTTGTGAAGGATTTGTGTTATTCTTTAAAAAGATTTGATGGAATTTGCACAATAAACCACCTCAGTTTAGATTTTTTTCTCTTTGGGAAAATGTCAAGCACTCATTTTCTGCAGCACTGACTGCCCTGCATGCATCCTGCTATGCAGTGAGCCCGCACACAGGGAGTTGGTGCAGTCTCTTTTGAAGACAAGTGTCAAGAATGCAGCCTCCTTGGGTTGACTGTGAGGCCCATGGTGAGCATGTTCTACAGGAGAGACTGTAGGACTCAGAGCAGTTGACTGGACTGCATATGGAGAATTGGGGAGCATGAATGATGGCCCCTGAGAATGGAAGCCCTGGACCACTCCCAGGTGAGGGCACTTCTGTGTGGAAAACATGGAGTTCTTCTATAAACACGATTGTTTGCATTTTTAATTAGGAAGAAGCAAAGATTTCTATATTTAAAAAAATTCCCTCTCTGTTGGAGACTTCTCTCTGGTTATAGAAGGGCAGATGGAGCTGATGGCCTTGGTGAATAGGAAGTAGACCAGGTAGAGGTTAGGTAGGAAGAATTACAGGTTATGGGGAACCTGGAAAGATGAAAGAATAGCAGTAGGGGCTGACAGGATGGCTCAGCAGGTAAAGATTCCTGCCACCAAGTCTGACGAAGTGAGCCTGAGTCCTCAGGTCCACACAATGGGAGGAGAGGACGGAGGGCTGCAAGGGTCTTCCGACTGCTCCAGGGGAACCGTGGCACCCTCCTTCCCCATTAGTAAATACATAAATAGTAGATAAGATTTTAAAAAATACAGGAATTGGGAGTTCTTTGTGGGGAGGGGATAGGTATTTAGAAATGTCAGTCAAGAAAATGATAAGCTGATTTGTTTGGGGGCTCAAGACCACCCCTAGGTTTGACGGTTGGTTAATAGGAGGACTCACAGACTCAGCATATGGCTGTGACCACTGAGAAGGGCACGAAAAAGTCAGCTGAGGGAGACAGAGGAGTGGTGTCTGTCGGAAACCAGGCACTGCTTCCAGGAGCCCCGACTGGCACACTCAAGTTTTGCCTTGTGAGAAGTGCTGCCTACCAGCGCTGTCCTCACACGCCC